CTTGTCGCGTCATCCAGTAGACCCAGCAGACCTTTCTGAGAGCGATGAGTCTACTTGCGTTTTGGCACTTTCCGCGTTTAGCAACATTGGAGATCAGCAATGCCATGATCCTCACTTCAGAGATATAATCCTTCGGCTTAGTGGTCCCCCAACTCCTCCGTCTCTCCGTATGTTCCTGCTCCAAGATGGCGTCTTGTATCGCTACAGCATGCATCCTGACGGACCTGAGCTGCTGTTGGTCATACCACAACATATGCGTCAGACTGTCCTCGCACAGTTGCATGATATTCCGACAGCTAGTCACCTGGGAGTTTCAAGAACTTATGTCCGCGTTCGACGTCGCTTCTTTTGGCCCGGTATTTATCGATCCGTCTGCCGTTACGTCGCCTCATTCAAATCCTGTCAACACCGCAAAGAACCAGCAACCCTTCCAGCGGGACGCCTTCAGCCCATTCAGATCCCTTGGGGACCATTTTATAGGGTAGGTGTTGACTTACTAGGACCGTTCCCTTTATCGGCCAGTGGAAACAAGTGGATAGCAGTCGCCACGGATTACACCACTCAGTATGACATCACGCGGGCCCTTTCTAACAGTTGTGCGACCGACGTCGCTGACTTTCTTCTAGAAGACGTCATATTACACCGCGGCGCTCCTCGGCAACTGCTACCGATCGGGGTCGCTCCTTTTTATCACAAGTTATCCAAGATATATTACACTCTTGTGCTACAAAGCACAAGTTCACAACGGCGTATCATCCTCAAACCAACGGGCTCACGGAGCGTATAAATAGAACAACCACGGACAGGCTCGCCATGTACGTTTCTTCCGACCATCGTGACTGGGACTCCGCCCTTTCATTTGTAACATTTGCCTATATTACGTCTCGGCATGACACTGCAGGTTTCTCGCCATTTTTCCTACTGTACGGACAAGAACCTACGTTGCCTTTTGACAGCTCCTTCCTGTCGTTAGCCACGCGTATGCCCACGATGTGATCTCTAGCGCTCTAGAGGCACGTGAGATTGCTCACCGGCGTCTGAGCGATTCGCAGAAACGACAACGACAGGTCTACAATGCGTGCCATCGTGATGTCCACTTTAGTCAAGGTGACACAGTCCTTCTCTGGACGCCGTCGAGGCGAGTTGGCCTGTGTGAAAAGCTGACTTCACCGTACTCGGGTCCGTACCGTGTGGTGCACGAAGTCACCGACGTGACATATGAAATTGAACCTCTTAACGCCACCAGCGCGCGATCGTGCTCTGACGTTGCTCACGTCACTCGGCTGAAGCGATATTACTCGGACCAACCAAGCACCAAGACAGTGCCTTCGCCACCGGGCGTGATGCCACGGGCTGCCACAAATGAACATTGTGGGAAAGAGGACGATGTTTAAGGCCAGCTCGTGCAGACTGGGCTCCATATTGTATGCCTGCCTGTTTACCAAAAGTAAAGGTATTTTTCAGGCGCCTTCTCCCTGTAACAATATATACAGGAAAGAACTGTATACCTAAGGGCTCACTTTTCCGCGTTTTGACACAATATTAATGAGATTTAACAGACGAAAATGCCAAGGAATGGAGAGAACTTATTAGACCCATTTTTATTGTAAATGTGAAGAAAGAAAAGTGGGTGAAAAGATAACTTGCCGTGAGCAGGAACCGAAACAGCGATCTCCGAATAACCCGTTGGATGCTCTATACCACTGAGCTACCATGGCGGCTGCCACGTTCAAATTCACATACAAACCCAATAAAGTGGCTTGGGGGATAGCCGCCATGGTAGCTCAGTGGTAGAGCATCGAACGCGTTATTCGAAGGTCACAGGTTCGGTTCCTGCTCAAGGCAAGTTATCTTTTTTTTCAGACACTTTTCTTTTTTCACATTTACATGAAAGTTGGGTCTAAAAACTTCTCTTATACATTCCTTGGCATCATAGTCTGTTATATATATATATATATATATATATATATATATATATATATATATATATATATATATATATATATACTTTGCGTCATCACAATGGGTAAATATAGCTCGTTTTGAACAAACTATTATGCCACTAAGTTCTTATGGTTCTGAGACAATAAATGCTCTTATTTTTCTATCTTAACTGTACAATGCAAGTAACTATGTGGAAAGTGCGTGTAAAACGTCCTGGTAGTCAAGAAAAATCGTACTGTGAGAATTCTTAGATTCCTCACACCATACTGATTGCTTACTTTAGGTTCGCAATAAATATACAGGCGATCTCTAGTTTTAAGAGAGATACTTGCGCCCTTAACATTTTAAGAAATGTGTGGGCAAAATTTTATCCCAATCGGCCCATCAGATCTACCATAATGTCATGTCCAAACTCAAGAAGTTGCCCAGAAACAGATATTGAGAAAGACACATTTTAAAGGTACAAGTGAGCCCCGCCGCGGTGGTCTAGTGGCTAAGGTACTCGGCTGTTGACCCGCAGGGCGCGGGTTCGAATCCCGGCTGCGGCGGCTACATTTCCGATGGAGGCGGAAATGTTATAGGCCCGTGTGCTCAGATTTGGGTGCACGTTAAAGAACCCCAGGTGGTCTAAATTTTCGGAGCCCTCCACTACGGCGTCTCTCATAATCATATAGTGGTTTTGGGACGTTAAACCTCACATATCTATCAATGAAAGGTACAAGTGAAAGCTTATCTATGCAAAAAGGATAGGTATATTTTTAAGATTGCCTATTCTATCATGAAAGCTTGCTAATCATAGTTTTAATGAGCATGAGCCTTTACGAATTCCTTATGTGAAATTCAGTGACAAGTAGCCAAGTGGCAGCTTCCAGGAGACTCTAGAAAACGAGCTTTTTCTAGTTTTCTGTAGCCACTTTGAGTGCTTTAAAAACAATTTTAACCTATTTCGTGTTTCATTGCAATATTACGTCTTTTTTTGTGAAAGTAGAGCAACTATGCTTGTCAAAGGCAATAAAAATGAAAATACGTAATATTGGTTAAATTCTCCCGTTTTTTTCACTCGCATCTTCTCTTACATAGGCTTCCAGTGCTTCTCATTTGCGAAGCCAAATGTGCCAAATATTTTTGCAATGTTTGAATAGCAAGCACTTGTTTCAGTCGCGTGGGGCAGAAGCAGCAAAGTCCTTTTCTGAGTTCGCTAAAAGCTTCGTTCTGTAGCCCAGTCCGGGCCTCTCATGTTCATCAGCCGTGAGTGTAAAGTATGAAATATTCGACCAATTTCGAGAATGAAATTTATTTGAAGCCATCAGCGCGAAGGTGCCTATGCCGCCCTTCTTTGCTTCACTGTGATTGTTTTCTTGCTTTCATCGAGGCGTTATAAGTGAATCGATGTCTTTGTTTTGAAAAAAAACTGTTTAGTAATTGTGGACACATGGACGCTTTACCACGCACGATGACTTCACTGGCACCTTGAGACCAATTCATGGCGCAGTGTTAGATCGGTAGTCACGTTAGAGCCCTTACGTATGTTTTATCGAAGTTACATGCATGCCACGGTGCAATGACGTGCGTAGCAGTCGTTCACATGTTGCACCTGGATCGAGCAGCACTTTCCTATTGCTTCCTGGGTCATAGGAGCATGTGAAAATTGTTTATTATCTTGTAAATAAGGTGGCTAGCCAATGCTACAACCATAATGGATGTTGTCCCGACATGACGCCGGTATAAGCTTTTTCCCCGAAGCAATTTCAAGACGTGACGTAATTATGTGGTAGGATATTTGACTGTCAGGCATAATTTCAGTGTTTTATTCTGTATGGAACCATGGTTGCTATTCAATGTGCCTGTAAAATTTTTCATTGATAGCTTTGTGCCGTCCGGGTCTAAGGACTTCCCATCATCTGAGGCACCGCCATCGTTATCGATGGAGATAAGGACGGGACAGAGGTAACATACTCTTGCCCCCACCTTGCCCAAACGAACTTTTGATGAAGTGTATTTCTTCATTCAACGTGTGCTTCTGAACTCTATCATGTGAAAATTTCAAAAGACCGAGGCGGCCGGCCTGCTGGGCTTGCTGGTTCCTACGTGAAATTGAGCCAAGTTTGCGACGTAGTCGCATTGTGCAGGACAAAGCAAAGTTATTTTCCATTTCATTCCAAGTATATTCTTGCTATTGCCCAATAGGTACTGACAGAATCACCTGTGGCACATACCCAAATTACGTGTGTTGTGGTATACGGGTATATTCCACACGTGACTGAGGGAAAGAGTCTCGTAGTTATAGACACGACAAGAATATCACGTTGTTCATGTAATAAAGGACTAGTCACATTCTTCACATACTCATGTCGTCATATGCTAATGCTGATTCATATAAAGTTAAGAAGATAACCACGGGAACGCCAAGACGTAGGGGACTAGATGGATAGAAGTGCTCAATGTGCTTCTGGTGGGCAAAAAAAAAGTATGCTTCGCATTAAATAACGAGAAGCCATCTTTCCTCTCGTCTAAAGCTACAACTCCATCATCAGTTCATTTACACTGTACAGGCTCGAGAATGTTCTGAAGAAAACCTCCTGGTGGTGAAGACTCACTGGCGCTTGTAGTGAAATGGACACCCTTGTGAACGCGTGTCGGTGGGTGCAGAGTGCCAACGTTTTGCCTCCAAATCACTTTTCGCTGCCATTTGATGTTTGTTTTTTCCCCAGTCAAACGTACAAACCGAGTTCAGTCTGGCTAACCTTCATTCTTTCCCGTATAGCTTCGATATTGATTAATTTCATGCGATACTGATCTGGGAGACATTTTGCTTGCAGAACGAAATTGTGTGCTACAACGGCGTGGAGCACAAAACTGTGTGGTGGTGACTGACCTGCAAGGTCAGCTCCAATCGAAACACTTCATGAAAAGCAGCGTTACGGGCTAACTTTGGTAATCAGCACAACTAACGGTATTAGTCGCATTCATGAATTTCACTTTATACGTTTCATCTTGGTTCATATAAGATATTTGGTGGTTATTTTGTCGGAAATACGTGAGTAAAGAGACGGTAGTCTGGCACAAACGAGGATGATAAAGTATTTATTTGGTGAATAGATCCTAAATACTTAAATTGAAGGTGCATGCGTAACGTCGTCATTGATGATGTCGATGAGGTGCTTGAATTATTGATGAGTTTCAACTAGAATAATCACAAGTATTGCTGTCTTCACGGAGACAAAGAAGGCATCTCTCTAACTAAATGCCTGGTCGCTAGTGAGGGGCGTTGAGAAAAATGCTTCGAACAACCTGTGGCTCACACACAACTAAATCCACCTGTCACGCCAATACACCTCAGCGTGCGACCGAGGTGTACAGGGAGCAGCCATTTACAGCCTGGAAGCTTCACTCGAGTAGCAAGCCTATGACATTGCGACTCGCCTTAGGTGCTTCAGCGAAGCTGTAGGAAACTCGTATTGAGCACATGAATGTAGCCGTAAAGAAAGAAGGCCTAACGCTCCCATAGTGTTCAGCGGCCACTAAACGTGCGATGCACTGAAAAAACTTCTTTGCTTCTGCATGAGCCCATTAAAAAAAAGCATTGTAACGCATGGTTCACTGTGAACCAGTCCTTATGTACATTCTTGTAAAAAAATTCTGAGCATGAATCTTGTGACAATGTTGATTGGGAATAGGGGACATTCCCGCGAATCTAGGTCTCCCTGCAAACGCCAAGCATAAACTTCCGAAGAGTTTCGTTTGCCCCCTTTTTTCTATTCCATTAACATTTTCTTCAAGAGACAAATATTGAAGCAAAATTGCTACTGAAACAAGACCCCAAGCCTCATTGCCAGTTTTTGTGGTATGGTCAAATTCAGGGTTTTTATCCCATATTTAGAGCACATCAAGATTCCCAAATTTTAAGTAAGTGCGAAGTGTAATTTTAGAGTAGGGCGTCACGAGAGGGTTCAAAACACGGCATGCGTTAATGTTATTTTCAGAGCTGAAGAATAAACTCGATGCAACGGCCACATAAAAGATACATATAGCGTTTAACTATGAATTCAAACAACAAATTTCAGCTGCGTACTTTTAAACTTCAACAATAACGAGTTACCTTTTGTCCCAACGCCGTGTATAATTACCTTTCCTCGCAACCGTTATGAAGGTTCTATAACCAGCGAAAACTGGCAGGCCTCGATTCGCGCCTCACATTTGTAACATCGGCTGACAGATATGCATTCAAGGCGTACGCTTTCGCTCCACGATGCAACAAAACAGCTTTGCTGAAATCCGTACTATTCTCCATGCCGCCTCATTTTATCTGGTATTCTAAGTATTCTCAAGTCCTAGCGTAATCCGACCCTCAGAAGCGTTCAACCACAAATCGCTTCTCTTTTTCTGCGGGCGTCATCTTCTCCACAGAGCCATTGAAAGCACCGTTCGTATGAGCGTTGTTTTCCGAATGTCGCTCCACCATGGCCTTTGACATGAAAATGTACTTCTCGATGAGGCCGAGCGGGCACTCAACGAATAGGAAGAGTGCGTAAGCAGCCATGTAGCTGAGCATTGTCGTGCCGAAGAACAGCATCACCTGAGGTAAAGGAAAATAAGCATAATTAAGTACCATAGTATAATAATAGGTGTGCCATGGCAAGTATATAGGCGGTAACGGAATCTTTCTTTTCATTATGAATAATGCCCATCTATTTCAATAATTGAACGGCCTCAATTAGAAAAGAGCGGATGCTCACCATAGGGAAGTGGTGATACTCGGCGATCTCTCGCCTGTAGGTAACTCGAATGGCGAGGATGAACACTGAGGTCAGGTAGGCGCCCAACGAGAGCCTGCTGAGAGGCACGAAGAAGGACCACGATAGGAACTTGTTGAGAACGCCTGTGAAAAAAAAATGGAAATTGGAGAACCAGCCACGTGGCAAGATACTAACCGCACTAATTTGCACGGTTAACGATGCCATGAACTGAAACTCGGAGGAAGATGCTTATACAAAAGCTAGACAGCACGACAGAATCATCCTTCTTTTTGGATTGCCTAGTTATGGTATTTGAATTTTCACATAATAAAAATTAGTCTTTAGTTATTAGAGGCATATTCAAAACTGAAGCTTATTTTATTAGCTCGAATATATATGAAGACTGAAGTAACCCAAGCCACGTACCTAAACCATATACTGCACACCTGTGTTTGAAGTAACACTGCACTTTCGAACACAGCGTACAAGCCAACGTTTACAACTTCGCGAATATTTCGTGTTCTATCGCCTTTTACATGCATTGTTATTTCGAAAAAAAAAAGGGGGGGGTAGGCGCTATAGGTGCGTTACGCGCAAGGGATGCGAACACTGAGAGAAGAGCGGTGCTGCCACTCTCTAGCATGTCTTAAACTTCCAATTCACCTTCCTCGCACTTCGTTCCTTTATCTTTCTCTTTGTCCTCACCTTTCTCCTTTATTCTCGGTTTTTTTCTTTATTGTATCTTCTTTTATCTTGTTCTCTCTCGATCTATTTTCCCTCTGTCAGCCTAACCACCACAGTAGTCTATAGTGATTATAAGGCTCGACTGCTGACCGACGGGTCGCGGGATTGAATCCCGGCCACGGCGACCACATTTTGAATGGAAGCGAAAATACTTGTGACCCATGCACTAAGATTCAGGTGCATGTTAAAGAACCCCCCGTGGTCGAGATTTTTGGAGCCCTCCACTATGACGTCTCTCTTATATAATCACATCGCGGCTTTGCAACGTTAACCCCAACAATTATTATCTGTCAGTCTTTTTTCCCTCTTTCGTCCCCTTCTTTCTCTCTCCTTGTCTCCTAACTAGTCCTCAGTTTCGTTTCTTTTTTTCTTTAACTTACATAAGCGTTTGCTTTTTAATCGTCTCATTTTTGCGGGGTGATCATTGTTCGCGTTATCACAGAAAATTTATTTTACGCATGTTCTATAGCCCCTTAATAACCATAAACAGTCGAGCGCACAACGTCACCCGTAATATAAACTGCACGCTAGCGTACAAGCGTTGTCGCGCAAATTCAATTCAGTGAAACATGCAACATTTGTCCTCGCTAAACAAATCAGCCACTGCAGTGATTGAATAACACGATTAACACAATGCGTGAACATAAATAGTTAAGTTACTATCAAGCACGCAGAATATCAGGTGGAAAATTCCAAATAATAGGGCCCTGTAACAGCACTTGGATTTAGAAAAACGGGGTCCATAAAACAAGAGCCGTGATGCTTTGTCGCATTGCAAATCCATCATGCCGTGAATTACCTCATCTCAACAGCTGTCTTTTGTGGAAAGGCACACATTTAGCATTTTGCTGTTCTTTTCAAGTGAAAGCAATGTCAATTTAGTCACTAAAGTTCAGTACAAGCAATGTTGCCGCTGTCGCTTTCGAGTTCGTCCTTCAAAAGCCCTGAACACGGTGATTCCGTAAACGCTCCTGCTGAAAGTATACGCAGTTGTAAGTAAAAAAAGCGTTCTTCAAGAAAAAAAAGTACTCGTGACCTATCTCTCTCTAGATTTTGTCATTTAAAAAAGTTATCCGGCATTTGAATAAAAAAACACACATACAATGCAATGGAGTACTCATCAGTATGCGAAGTGGGAATCGAGAGGCGCTTTTTAGGGGGCACTGAAAAGCAGAATGAAAAAATCTGGGACCCGAGACTTTGGCGGTTGACTGGATTTGCATTCGCACCAGACAAAATTGATTTACTTTTTCTTTTCACTGTTGCTTTGGTTCTCAAATGCTCGTACTACACGTAAACCTAGGTCATAGCGCAGTATGTAGACGGTGGGCGCAAACTACACGAAAAGCATTCCACTTTGTTTAGGTTAAATTATTTACAGAGAGATAAGCTATGAGTGTAGGGAAAGCAGTGCACCAGCAAGAGGTGAGAATGGTATTCCACGGCAACAACCTTACGAAAGAATCTGGGATGTGAACACTCATTTATTGAGCGATCGTATCAATGTAAGGTTGAAAGAGAAAGCGAATATTCTTGTTATAACACTCGTAAACTTCAGCAACCATGCTACCATTCTCGATGTTCTGTTATGACACGTCAACTGAAGAAAGATTTTTGTATTGTGATTCATAGTCGTGCAAAAGCTTTAAAGAGTGCCTTTAAAACTCTTTGTGAAACAGCTGCGTAGAACATTGTCTACGTAGAATATGGATGCTTCCATACAGAAAAATGAGCCTCAGACAGTACTCTGCCTATCTGCTGTCCTATAGATAAATAGATTAAGGAGCCATAGCAAATGCATAATTTCTTTGCTTCCTTAAATTGAAAATCAATGAATTTCAAACTGTGGCAGCCGTCACCACATGTTTTCAAGTAAAAAACATCCAAGCAGTCCCTAACTGCGGAAGGAGGGCAGCTGACTAAACTGGGGTACTGAGTTCTTCCATAAATATATATATAATACATTGATGGACTGATTAATGCAGTTATTCATTCACTCATTTGTAAAAAGAGAACAGTTGCTCAAGAAAAAAAAACAGCAAAAATGTCATTCTCTATGCATTTTTTGAAGTCAGCAAATGGCTGTCACTGCCTAGTTAAATGACACGGAAAAACGTAATTACGAAAACCCCAACTAGGCACATTTACACTTCAGCTGTTAGCGCTCCAGCCAGCCTTTTAGGTCGATCTTAGCCATTGGCGAGAATTATAAATATGCAATGATAAACCCTTACTGAAATACATTTCTTCAATTTTATTTTATTATGTTTTAATTAGATTAATTTTTCAACACAGGGTGCAAGGTGTAGCTTGTACGCCCTTTTTGTGTATACTACGTGGCAAACTAGATTCATGTTTAGTGCTACCACTTGAGATCAACAATGAGAGTGAAAACAAGAAAACACACACACAAATCACTATTGTTTTTCAGAAACAAAATTTTTTGTATCTTCAAGCTTCCATATTCTCCTTAACTACTGCCTATTGAATGATAAGTCATTCAGACGAGATAAAAAAATTAGGGCAGCTTTCATCTCTGGTGGTGCCAAGCCTGCACGCAGTGCGGAGCTGGGCAGCCTTCTATGTTTCTCATTGGTCTTAGCGTGTGTCATGTTTTGATAATACGTGGTAAATAAAAAACAAACACTTCCACTTCAATAATAACGGCTACCAGGAGAATTAACAAAACAGATGCCCCCATTTCATTTTGTTGATGTGAAGCTTGGTGATACTGATATGGCAGAATCATTTTGTTGCGCAGCTCTGAAATTCTGGCCATAAAAAAGGGAAGTGTGTTGGGCTTTCCATTGGGGTCACATTTTTATTCAAATGGGAAAGCAGCAAAGCACTGGCCAATTCTATCTGTTGTGCTGCATCTTCGTAATACAGGTGTTAGTAACACTCCTCCACAAGGCTGTGTGACCACTTTCACGAACTGTTGGTGGTGAATGTTAGACTATCTATCTATCTATCTATCTATCTATCTATCTATCTATCTATCTATCTATCTATCTATCTATCTATCTATCTATCTATCTATCTATCTATTTATCTATCTATCTATCTATCTATCTATCTATCTATCTATATATATATATATATATATATATATATATATATATATATATATATATATATATATATATATATATATATATATATAAGACTGATTGATTGATTGATTGATTGATGTGTGGTGTTTAACGTCCCAAAACCACCATATGAATATGAGAGACGCTGTAGTGGGGGGCTCCGGAGATTTAGACCACCTGGGTTCTTTAACGTGCCCCCAAATCTGAGCACACGGGCCTACAACATTTCTGCCTCTATCGCAAATGCAGCCACCGCAGCCGGTGTTTGTGTATATATATATATATATATATATATATATATTGTGCGTGTGTCACCCCGCCGCGGTGCTCTAGTGGCTAAGGTACTCGGCTGCTGACCCGCAGGTTGCGGGTTCAAATCCCGGCTGCGGCGGCTGCATTTCCGATGGAGGCGGAAATGCTGTAGGTCCGTGTGCTCAGATTTGGGTGCACGTTAAAGAACCCCAGGTGGTCTAAATTTCCGGAGCCCTCCACTACGACGTCTCTCATAATCATATGGTGGTTTTCGGACGTCCAACCCCACATACAAATCAATCAATCAATATTGTGTGTGTGTGCGTCTTTCTAACCTTCGACGTTGGTCACATAGCCTTGAAGAGCAGAGTGGTTTTTACCTGTGTTTGTAGAAAAGTGCAAAAGTGCTTGCCTGCACGTCCCGTGACGCAAGCGAAAATGAGCCATCCGACAGCTACGGCCCATGCGGTGCGGTGCAGACCAGCGTACAGGCCAGCCTCCAGCTGGCTGGGGAAGTTGCCCTTCTGCCACTCGTAGGGCACCATGATCACGCACAGCGCCACCGCAGTCGACACACACCACAGCGCCCACTGGACGACCTGCGAATCGCGGGGCGGCAAAATGTGAGTACGGGCCTGGTGTTATAACATGCAGACGTTACAGAGAGATTGCTCGTGTTCCCAAGATGATGCTGGCATTCCCTGAATGTGTGAACAGAGAGTGATATAGCGGCTAGTGCCAGCCGTAATGGTTCAACGTCATCAAACCATGAAATCTGCCCTACTGAATGCATTTTTTTTTTGCTTAGCCAACTAAACCGATAATATGACATTCGTAGCTGCGAACACATTTATTGGCAAACACCACTGAGCAAAATGTGGGCTTTTGTGGGTGTGTTTCCTCTTTTTTTATGCAGCAGTAGAGTTCGTACGCTTGTTAATTTTAAGTAGCAGTGTTAAAGTTTCCAAGCTCAGTTGTATGCAAGAGCACATAATACTCAGAACAACTCACAAAGAAAGGTCGGTTCTGTGTTCGCAGAATGCAAAAATGATGTGATCTTTTATGATCAGTAGATCAAAGATCACAGTTTGAAAAAAAAAAGAGTGAGAACGTAGAAAATAAGATAATCAAAAGGTATATAGTTCTACTTGCTCGAAGCTCCCACTATAAGACATATTTAGATCATGCTAATAATAGAAATAGAGGTTTTTTGTTACAGCATCAGTGGTCATAGTGTTTAGACGGTTCTGTGAAATTCTTATTATGGATTCTTTTTTAATTTGTAAGTGACTCAGTTAAATTTATTTTCCTGCTTTGAATCTGATTACAGGGATTTGTTTTATGTTTTCATTGAAAGGTTTTTTGGGGGAACATAAAACACAACATTATTATTGTCTTTAAATTTGAGAAGGTGCTATGTGAGCAATACTCCATAAGCTAGTCTATCAGTGAAAAGCGAGAGATGTCATATCGTGCAAGATTCAATTTTTACAACTATAACCTAACTTCCTTTATAAGAGAAGTTATCTGTCTCTTCTCGTGTAATTATTTCGGTCTTTGCAAGAATAAGTACACCATGTGTTTTATTCTCCCCCCTCTCGCTACTCCTTGAATTACTTACTCATTTTCGCTAATAGCCAATTTTAAGCTTCTCAGGCTAACATGCCTGCCTTTTCTGCGTTCGTTTTCTTACTCGCTTTTTGAAATGAGTCACGACCAGGCCAGCGTAACTTTAAGTGTGCGTGCGTGTGTGCGCATGCGCGCGCGTGTGTGTGTGTTTGTGTGTGTTTGTGCGTGTGTGTGCGCGCCTGTATGTGTGTGAGTGCGTAAGTGTGTGTGCATGTGAGTGCGTAAGCATGTGTGCGCGCGGTAGCGTGCGTGTGTGTGCATGTGTGTGTGTGTGCGTATTTCTGCGCGCGTATGTCGGTGCATGTGTGCGTATGTGTGCACATGTGTGCGTGTCTATGTGCGTGTGTGTGTGTGTGTGTGTGCATGTGCACGCGTATGTGTGCGTGAGTGTGTGCGTATGCGTGTTCATTTGTGCGTGTGCATGTGCGCGTGTGTGTGCGTATATGTGCGCGTGTGTCCGTATGCGTGTGTGTGCATGTGAGTGCTTAAGTGCGTGTGCGTGTGTGTGTTCACGCGTGTGCGTGCGTATGTGTGTGCATACGTGTGTGCGTGTGTGTGGTCGAAACACTGCAATTTCACTAGCCAGATGAATTGATAACAATAGCAAAGTATTACACAGAGCCCTACACATGTAGTGTGTGTAGTTGTATTATCCGCATCGTTACAACTATACATTTGACTCCCTAACTAATCATGTACCATAGTGTGACATGTACAAGGACAAGTGTGAAGAGCTGTTAGAACAGCTCGAACACACGCTGTTACAGCACGGTCGGGATGTGCGACAAACGTGGGGAGCGCACGGCTTCTTTTCTAAAATGAACTTTTTGTGCCCCTGTTCACTTTCCGATTTCTTTGGTACCGGTCCTCTAAGATTCATATTACGTGTTCTGATTAGTACTGGTCCTCTAAGATTAAGATTACGCAACGATTCAGTTGCGCGTTTGTATTTCAAGTATTTTAAATTCCCAACTCGCCCAACGAGCCATCATGACAAGCAGAGTAAAGTACAAAAATGCGACGTCGTACCTTGCTAATCTTAACGTGCTCGTACTTGAGGGTGAGGTAGCCGAACAAAATTCCGGTGCAGTAAGACCCGACATGGGTGAACGGCTTGATGTACACGTAGTCAACCGTATCCGAGGGTCGCCTGTGGAAACACGCCACACTCTGTCAACAGAAGTCTAGGAGGAGCAGTCACACCTTTGATACGTGCCAATTTTTTAAATTTAACTTATAGCTGATCACGACCTTTGATCTGTATGAACATTGCTACATTTATTAAAATTTAAGCAAATAAAGGACAGCCGAGCACAATCGAAATCTTGCTTTGAGCGATAGAACATTGCACACCAACATTAATATTCGTGGAGCAAGAAGAAAAGAACTGGAAGTACCTACATGGTTACTACAGTTTCTAGTCAAGTAGACAGATACGCACAGGACTACTGCTACGCAATCTCACGCGTTGTCCTCAGAGAAGGTCAATCCCCGATGACAACGTCACAAGTCTAGCAGACGCATTCACTCCAGGTGATGCCATTAGACTTACGCTTGGTTCGCGTCGGAAAGCAGCAGAGGCAGTGGTTGGTAATCAAGCGTATACGTCTGGAAGATGACGTAAGCGGCCGTGGCCACCGTACTGCCCACCAGCAGGAACACGCCAAGCTTCATCCTCCTGCAAATAGCCGGCCAGAACAAGCCAGAAACAAGAACGGATCCATGTTAAGCCCTCACCACCACCTAATTTGACACAAATGTCACTGAAGGTGGGCGGAAATGTTTCCGTTGCCGAGTTCATCGCCACGAGAGTCCCGTTGTTCTGTTTTCACAGCGCCTGGATATGCGGCTCAGACTAGTGCGGTTGCAACAATAGAGAGCCTTGCAGCATTAAAGGCAACGCTCGGTGTATGAAGTGAACCACCTTAATTCGTGAACGTGATGTAATGCGAGCCATATAGACCCGTTCACTGTTTGCAAACACAGACCCTTGATGACTTAGGATTACGTCCACCGATGTGCCCGAATAGCATAGGTGGGCACGAAGAGCTTAAAAAAATTAGCCTGCTGGTTTTCTACACTTTCCTTGCAACATTTGGCAAAATATATTTAAATAAATATTTTTTGAGCCACATGAAAATTATAAGAGATGACTTTGAACATTACGCACGTTCGTTTTATATGATAAACTAATAAAAGACTTTCTTTACCTTTTAAAAAAGGTTAAAACATCGTTTCAGTGTCGACGTTCATCATCATCATCATCAGCCTGACTACGTCCACTGCAGGACAAAGGCCTCTCCCATGTTCCGCCAGTTAACCCGGTCCTGTGCTTGCTGCTTCCAATTTATACCCGCAAACTTCTTAATCTCATCTGCCCACCTAACCTTCTGTCTCCCCCTAACCCGCTTCCCTTCTCTGGGAAGCTTCCCAGTCAGTTACCCTTAATGACCAGCGGTTATCCTGTCTACGCGCTACATGCCCTGCCCGTGTCCATTTCTTCTTCTTGATTTCAGCTATGATATCCTTAACCCCCGTTTGTTCCCTAATCCACTCTGCTCTCTTCTTGTCTCTTAAGGTTACACCTACCATTTTCTTTCCATTGCTCGCTGCGTCGTCCTCAATTTAAGCTGAACCCTCTTTGTAAGTCTCCAGGTTTCTGCTCCGTAGCTAAGTACCGGCAAGATACAGCTGTTATATACCTTCCTCTTGAGGGATAGTGGCAATCTACCTGTCATAATTTGAGAGTGCTTGCCGAATGTGCTCCACCCCATTCTTATTCTTCTAGTTACTTCAATCTCGTGGTTCGGCTCTGCGGTTATTACCTGCCCTAAGTAGACATAGTCTTTTACAACTTCAAGTGCACTATTACCTATCTCGAAGCGCTGCTCTTTGCCGAGGTTGTTGTACATTACTTTCGTTTTCTGCAGATTAATTTTAAGACCCACTTTTCTGCTCTCCTTGTCTAACTCCGTAATCATGAGTTGCAATTCGTCCCCCGAGTTACTCAGCAATGCAATGTCATCGGCGAAGCGCAGGTTACTAAGGTATTCTCCATTGACTCTTATCCCTAACTGTTCCCATTCTAGGCTTCTGAAAACCTCCTGTAAGCACGCGGTAAACAGCATTGGGGAGATTGTGTCCCCCTGCCTTACACCCTTCTTGATTGGTATTCTGTTGCTTTCTCTATGAAGCACTATGGTAGCAGTTGATCCCCTGTAGATTTCTTCCAGAATGTTTATATATACTTCATCTACGCCCTGATTCCGCAGTGTTTGCATGACGGCTGATATTTCTACTGAATCAAACGCCTTCTCGTAATCTATGAAGGCTATGTATAGTGGTTGGTTATACTCTGAGCATTTCTCTATTACCTGATTGATAGTATGAATGTGGTCAATTGTTGAGTAGCCTGTTCGAAATCCTGCTTGTTCCTTTGGTTGATTGAATTCTAATGTTTTCTTTACTCTGTTGGCAATTACCTTTGTAAATAGCTTGTATACTACAGAGAGCAAGCTGATCGGCCTGTAATTCTTCAAGTCCTTGTCATCTCCTTTCTTATGTATTAAGATGATGTTAGCGTTCTTCCAAGACTCTGGTACTCTTCCCGCCAGGAGACACCTCGTAAACAGGGTGGCTAGTTTTTCTAACACAATCTGTCCTCCATCTTTCAGCAGATCTGATGTTACCTGATCCTCACCAGCAGCTTTGCCCCTTTGCATGCTCTCCAAAGCTTTTCTGACTTCTTCTATCATTACTGGTGGAGTGTAATCTGGGTTACTGCTAGTTCTTATAGTATTAAGGTCGTGGTTGTCTCGGCTACTGTACAGATCCCTGTAAAACTCCTCCGCTATCTTAACTATCCTATCCATATTGGTAGTTATTTTGCCTTCTTTGTCCCTTAGTGCATACATCCGACTTTTGCCTATCCCAAGTTTCCTCTTCAATGCTTTGACACTTCCTCCGTTTTTCAGAGCGTGTTCAATTCTCTCCATGTTATACCTTCTTACATCGCATACTTTACGTCTATTAATCAACTTCGAAAGCTCTGCCAGTTCTATTTTGTCTGTTGTACTTGACACTTTCATGATTTGACGCTTCTTAATTAGGTTCTTCGTTTCCTGTGAAAGCTTGCCAGTGTCCTGTCTAACTACCCTGCCTCCCACTTCCACTGCACACTCCATAATGATACTCGTCAGATTATCATTCATTGTATCTACGCTAAGGTTGGTTTCCTCACTGAGAGCCGAGTACCTGTTCTGCAGTGACACTCTGAATTCCTGTACTTTCCCTCTCAGTGCTAGCTGATTGATTGGCTTCTTGCGTATCAAGTTCTGTCGTTCCTTCTTCAAGTCTAGGTGAATTCAAGACCGTACCATTCTATGGTCACTGCATCGTACCTTGCCAATCACTTCCACATCCTGCACGATTCCAGGGTGTGCACTCATTATAAAGTCTATTTCGTTCTTATTTTCGCCATTAGGGCTCCTCCATGTCCACTTGCGGTTTTCTCGTTTTCGGTAGAAGGTATTCAAAATCCGTAAATTATTGCGTTCTGCGAATTCTACTAGTAGCTCTCCTCTGGCGTTTCTAGTACCGATGCCATAATCTCCTACTGCCTGGTTTCCAGCCTGCTTCTTCCCTACCTTTGCATTAAAGTCGCCCATCACTATAGTATACTGTGTTTTTAGCTTACTCATTGCCGATTCCACGTCTTCATAGAAGCTTTCAACTGAAGCGTCATCATGGCTGGATGTAGGCGCGTAAGCCTGTACTACCTTCATCTTGTATCTTTTATTCAGTTTAATTACGATACCTACCACGTTACGAGCTGGTAATTGAAGTGACCGGAAGTTTTTTGGGGGCAGAACGCTTGCAATCTTGAAACCGTCAATAGAGCCAGAGCAACCTCAAACACGATGACAAGGTCCTTTGCTTTTTTTTTTCGGGAACCAATCAGTTAATGCGGGAAATAGATAAGTACACGTTGTGGATCTAAGACACAGGACAACCCGAGCAAAGGTCCAAATAAATGCGTAGAAGCGACCCTATACGCTTACATTTACTTACATGAAAGAAACATGATTGAAGCAGTGCACTCTGTTTAGTCATCCTCTTCGTGTAAACTGTCATTGAAACTTCACTGAGGACACGGTAGATGTTTTAACGTATGACGATTCGTTCCTTTTTCTTTTAAAGTTTTCTATTACGTGCAAATGAGTGCGCCTTTGCAAAGAGTGTTAGACATTTCGTCATCCTACAATATCAATATTTAAAAGATCAGTCCGAAGGCTTTTTAGGCACTTTTTATGAGGCGAACATATGGCTTTTGTTAACTTTTTGTCATACTCAAATCTGTGTGTTTTGAATTTTGTTACATAAACACAGTATCCCCCCTTTTTACAAAGACAAACATCAACTTACTCAAGATTTCCGCTAAAGAAATCGCTATGACCCACTTTGGTCTTATGAGCAGTTTTTGAAAACAAGTCAGCTTTCTTTTCTTCCACCCTTTTAAAGTTGGACATGTGTCGCGGATTTTACCTCACTTCGCACGTATAACGCTTTCTATTGTATCTGCTCCAGTAAGCAGTAGTCAACACTGCCTCTTTGGTCTACTTCTCCTCGTGCGCGAGATGTGATTACAACGTTTGTGCCTTTGCATATATTATATAGAATATTACCTTGCACACAGTACCTAGTTGCTATCACTTAGTCCACAAATGTCCCCTATGTAGCCACTGATTGTTCTCCGTTGCTTAGCTGTTGCAGATAGCCTTTGAGGAAAAGAGTGTACAAATATACTCGGAGTTTATGAGGAAGAGCCTTGACATTAGCGACGACTCAACTGAACGTTACGCTGTGACCTAGTTTTTCTTTGAAAAGCGATGTTTTATATCTAAGTATGCTCTCTTCGCTACTGGAGTACTACGCTTCTGGTGAATTGTTCTGTGCTTTCTGCATACGGCACTTCGTGTCTTTCACAATCGAGAGAGTCAATGATGGCTTATGCACAGAACACTTCCGTTCAAAATGTGGTTGTCACATTAGCGCCTTTTAATATTTTAGTTTTCTATGATGAAACGCCGGACACGCGACAAGGTCATGACTTCTAGATCCATTAAATGGTGTTTCTTAGGTGACCCGTATGCTATTTATGCAGCACGTTAAGGAAGTGTTAGTGAAAAAAAAGCCTATAAGTGACACACTTTATGAGGACCATACTAGGTGTTGTCAGTCAAAGTTATCCTGTGGCCTACTTTTTCGAGCTAAAAGGATCTATTTTCAAAAAAAGGGCACTCTCGTCACTTCACCGCTTCTCAACTGAGACATATTCTTTGCATATTTTCTTTCGCGCTCCAAGCATATGACACTTCCCATTGGTTCTGCTCTAGCGAGCAAGGTTCGACTATGCTTCTTGGCAGAGTTGTTTACGAAGTTTTCACCCCAGTACAGGTGTCCTCTCTGGCACGTGTCGGAGAAAGTGACGCTAGATACATCAGCTGCTGCTTTATACAGCTCTAAATGATCTTTCTTGGCCATTGGCTGCGTCCAAGCGTTTCCAACTGGTTGGAAACGCTTGGACGCAATCGCACAATAGCCCTTATATGCTTGCTATGCCAACAACAACATGCATTGCCCAAGTTTCTGCCTAAGGCCATGTTTTCCTCTGTTATTAAAAAGGCTTGAAAACAAGCCATCTTCGCTCGCTTCGGTGCTTCCCGAGTTGGACATGCTTCGCAAATTCTTCCATGCTTGAAACCCATTAGACACTTTCTATTTTTTTTTTTCTGATATGGCATTCGTTAGCAATCCCACTGGGGTAGAACATTTCGAGAAAAAAAGTTGCATCACTTTTGGTTTTTGGGATATCCCAGATTTCCTAGTGTGCTGTATCTTGGGCGAGCTGAAAATTCTTTCTTGGCAGGGTAGCCCTAGTGGCCACGGACTAAAGAAAAGTACTCCGACGTGAGGAATAGCTTCTGTCTGTGTATAAATCTGCCTTCCGTTAGTTCGTGTCCACCAGTGATATATCCGTCTAAGCAGATATCCTCGAGCCCACTTAAAGACACATCGTTTGGCTATTTTCTGTATATCTCTTCAACTATTGTTCGTAATACTCGCACACCGACAAATGCAGCTATTAGGAAGAGATTTCGAAGTAAACGCGTTGATGTTGTCACCATGCAGAAAAAAATTGAAGATTAGAATAATTCAAAATGAATTTTGCTCAAGATCATATTGTGGTCAGCTGTTGCTTTGCAACAAGCTCTATTTGAAAAGAAGTCGGGCTTTTTTGCATAAATGCACCAGGAGCTGAACTTGTTGTGCACGTCTAGTCCCGCACGCTCGCACACGCCACTTCTCATTCTCTTCCGCATTAGACATTAACGTAAAGAAATTTGGAAGAAAGAGCAATTGGCTTGCTTGAATTTTATTTTCGCTGATACTACGTAGATAGGACATGTCCAGGCCAGCGAACAAGCTTGCCAGACGCTTGACCAGAGATACGACAAACTTCGTACACGTAAGAAAACGTGACTTCACTGGGCGTTCGGCTTCCCATTACTGCGCGCTCAGTGTTGTCGTATGGGCCATACCGTACACTATATGTAGCAGTATGTAGCTTCTGTTGGAACATTCGCTAGGTATATATCGCTGTTTCTTCTTCAAAAAAGAAAACGTCGGGGTGCGTTCTTTGTTGTGCTGAGATTAACGTGTTAGTTACGAAAGAGTGGCGGCGCCTGCGGCCGCACACGATGAAGAAGCGTAAATACTTGTACAGAGATCACAGTCACAACATATATCGTAAAAGCACATCAATTCAGGGCAGAAGACAGAATGAGCAAAAAATAGTTATTAACCTGGAAATGAGGTTGCCGCTAGAAGCTTTTTATCTTGTCCCCGTGGCATAATTTCTTCGATGCCAGGGCAACACAGTGAAGCATGAACATATCAGTTCAGAAGTCGCCAAACCATTATTATCTTCATTAATTTGTGATCTTCAGTCACTCATTTGAGAACAGGGCTTCAGTAAGCGCTATCGATTTGGCTCACCTGAGCATGATGAGGGGCACTGCACAAAACACCATGTAGAGTTGCCAGTCAACGCTGATGTACCAGTAGAATGGACTGCACTGTTAATGAAAAAAAAACATATTAAAAACTAATTCATTGGTTTATAGCTACGAGAACAATTTTCTCAGTAAAAACTTCTTTATTTGTTTTAATTATTTCGACATTACCGGTGTCATTTCTTTTTGGGAAAGGAAAAAAACGTGTACTAATTGAATAAATTGAGACAGTTGCACTTAAGGTTTTCTTTGATGCTGCGTTCTAACTATTGCTGAAGAAAAATGAACAGATAGGCTATAAAAGCCCCTTGCAAGATTTATTTTATTTCCTTCATTTTATCAAGTGAATTGCTTAAAAAAAGTGACTCCATGACCACTTCACGACTCGCTTATCTCAGATCCTTTTTACTATAAAATTTACTTCTGGTTTGGAATGTTTGGAATGCTTATTGTAAACATTATTTCAGAAAGAAAGAGACAACATTATTTAGTGTTCTTCAGTGCTTGTAGAGTTTGCTGCTAACTATGCAGGCAAGAATGTATTCAGCAGATTGAGCTCAAACTGATGTGACGTATTGTGTCCCTATGTTATGTTTGCGAGGGCAGAGGCCATATTTTCATTGGTGGCCTACGTGTTCTAAGCAGCTTTTATTAACAAAGCACTTAGTTTGTTCAATTTCAGAAATATAGTTTTACTATAAAACGTACTAGCTTTACAATGAGAAACTTCCGAGGGTACTTGTGCAACAACAATATTTTCTTTCTGGATATTATTTGAATGCAAAAACAACAGTGACATTATCTTCCACCAAATTATTGGCACCTCGGGCAACATTGTTTCCCCCTTTTCTCCCAATTTGGTGCCTTTGCCGTGTAGCGTTAACATCATTAGGTGAACGTGACCCACGATGTCCAGTGGAAAAACTTCCTTACCCTAATGAGCGCTAGCTCGGTAACGGAAATCCTTCGTTATACTCGGCATATTTCAATCAATAATACTAGCATTCATACCACATTGCCCTCAAGGCGAGCACATAAGCTTAGGAAATATTAGCCCCACGCCACTCTAATTTTTTTATTCAGCGTAATTGTAGCGAAAATACGTATGACGTACGATACCTTATGAAAAGGAACAAGTTTCTTGATCTAATGAACGCTTATCATCTAAAACAACGCCTTAAAAACGAGAAGGCTCAATATTATATTTAAAAGGCTGTCATCACCCTAATTTTGGGCGTACACTCCCGGTGGCACGGAATAAAAAGAGGAAAGAGCGCATTCACCTCTTTCTGAACCATCTAAAGTAAGCATATTCGGTAATTAAAACATCCTTCTATAATAGAAGATTTAAATAATAAATGCGTTTGCTCGCAGTCATCGACGCCCGAAAGATGACACTTATTTAGACGGTTCAGTTGTTTTTGAGGGACCCTTATTACTTATGTAGGCAGCAACTTTTCACGCCTAGCATGCAACAAGCGCGCAAGTGGGTCGTGAACAAGATGCTGCGTGGCGTTGCTGCTTATGCCGTAGCACGTCAAAAAAATAATAAAAACAATCATGCCCTCATTTGTAATAGCGAGAGAAAAAGAAACAAAAAAAAACAAAGTGCATGAACCTCATCCGAATGGTATAAAAAATAGAAGTGTCGCGCCGAGTGGTTAAAGCCTAAAGCCACCGCATGCTCGACCTGCACTTCGCGAATCCTCGCAATAAAGGCACCTTGTTAACCCATATGAAACCGTGTTCTTCCCGAACAGGTTTTAGTAGCACTTCCTTCGCTGCTCCGCGGCTGAAGCGGCACGTACTTGCGGTAGGCTCTGCTGTTGAGCTCGGGCGCTGCTCTATAGCGTGTAGCAGGTTTTATGGACACAATTAAGCCCCCACTCGCGGGAAATTTCTGGAAGGGCGGCTCGCTCTCGACGCCCATCTTTTCCCTAAGCCTCCTAAAGACCACTCGTTCGAGTCACCGGCCGGAGCGAGGCTCTGAAAGTGCACCGAAAGATACCTCTTTTTCTTTCTTTCCTTCTTTAGCCTCTCTCATTAAGACAGCCCATATTTTTCGCGTGTCGTTCCGTATTTTTAGCAGCCACTGTTTGCTTGGCTCCCCTTATCTCCCCCCCCCCTCTTTTTTTCCCTTCCTTGTCCCGCGATGAAAGATCTTGTGTCTGTCGACACCTCTTCACGGCTGCTCGTGATTCCGTCACTCAGTTTGACTCCAGAGGCGAAAAAAAAAGAAGAGGAGTCGGGTCGACAATTACCGCTATATACCGGCTGTATCACATTCGTGCCCGCTCGAAAATCGCCCAAAAATGTGTGCGACATACGAGATAACCGAGCGTGGCACCGCAGCCGCCTGCGTCAAGTTTCAAAGACCTTGGTCGGACGCGAGTTGGTCCGGGATAGGAAGCAGTCTATCCTCCGAAGAGGACGCAATTCCCCATCTACAGAAAAAAAAAGCCTAGCCAAAGCCGCGTGATAAATACGCGGGACTCGAGTGTCCCCCGGGGGGGGGGGGGGGGGCTCTTGTGCGCTTTTCTCCGGTCTGCGTCATGCCTGACAGCGGAAGAAGTTGGGCTCGGATTGCGGCTGCAGGGAACAAAGAAGTCGGGAAAATGAGGGCAGCCGGGAAAGCGTTGGCTCTGCTCTTTCGCGCTGAGGACACTCCTCCCGTGCGAGACGGACTTGATCTGACACGAAAACGGGCCGAAAAGTGGCAGTTAATAAAACGAGTTTCAGTGTTTTATCGAGTTCCGGGCAGCGTTCAAATGCCTCGCTTAAATGTCCTTCTTCCTGTGCTTCAATTTTTTTCTTTATTCTTGTTTGTGTATTAGCTTTTCGGCTACTCAAATGGTTATTACAGCTCGCGCGCTTCGCATATTTCTACCAATGTCTCTTAGGAAGAATACGCAAAAGTTACGCGGAGCAATATACATTTTTAGTAGGTCCCGGAAAATGCTATGATTCTTTTACTTGCTATTTTAGTTCACCTTCTTCCCTTTCCGCCAAATATGACTTGTGAGTGCAATTCATCACTGCAAAACATGTTTACTTTTTTCGTTTTTGTTCGCATAAAACATTGGCCCATTACTTGCACAACTTCATGTACAGTTGGCTCTGCTTAGTTGTTTTTTTCCTTGTTTCACTTATAGCCCTCATCTTTGTCTTACCCCAGTCCAGTGCCACACTCTTCGGAAAGCTTCTTTTTACGAAGAGTCATCGAAATTTTAACGCATCGCTAGATATTGAGAATGGGGGTGAAGGGTTCCCTGCCGGAAGGAGCAGCAACTGTTCGGGACGACAATTAAAGGGGCATGTGGGGGAGGGGGATTAATGTGCTGAGGGAGCTCACCGAGGAAAATGTGGCGCGCAAAGAAGAGGCCTGTGAGGTTGGCCTATGGCGCCTTACATGTCTGGCGGCGGCCGTGCGTAGTCTGATTTCTTTACGTTTGGTCACATTTGCGCAATATTTCCCAATTTCACACCCGGCGCGCACGATCGAAACGGCGGCCGAGCGTCGACAACTATCGGGATGAGCCCATCTCGTGGCCCAGCTCCTTCGCTTCCAAGTAATTTCCCGCGGCCTGAACGGCGCACCTGAAGCGCCGCAGGAATAGCGCGCGCCTGTTGGTCCACCACGTGCATGGGGTAATAGATTATTTGGGGCATTAGGCGATTGATCCTCCCTCCAGTGCGAGCGCCCCCTGGATGGCTCAGTTTGTTTTGTGTCGAGGGATAAGCAGGGAAGTTGAAGAATTTCTTACTTTAGTAAGTTTTTATGGGTAGTAAAAGCTGAAGTAGCACTTCAAATTCAGAAAATTCTCCGGGAAATCACGCCGCGGATATGTAAGCATTTTCCCAACACCCGACACGTTTATCCCGTGCTATCTCCCAAAGAATCACGAGGAAGCTTCGCGATCGACGTATGCTGGGATATCGAGGGAGCGCCTTTTTCCACCGCCACACTTTGCGAACGGCGATGTATTGAAAAAATAATCCATTACAATAACACTCGCGGGCTTAGGAAATCGACTTGAACAGGGGAAGCCAAACTCACCTTACGTAGAATTTAACTAAAATTTGCGATATAGCCGTACGAAGACACTAAGCCACGTCAGCTCTTTGTTCTTGCCGGTAGTATTACATGTATCATCTTCTGCGGGAACGCAAGCCCTTTTAAGGGCTTGCGTTTAGGTAGCTCTTTTTGCGTGGTTCGTAACCTAAAACTCTTAAAACATCCTCAAATACTAATCCTAAAAACAAGTAACACCAATGAGTTGCAGCTACGTTGAGTACACTATGATAAAAAGACCACGATAAAGTTCTCAAGTCCTGAGAATGCGGACCTCAGTGTACATGGGCGAGAACGCAAAAATTAGCACTCTTCAGTGCAGCATCACTTTTGTCGAACCGAGAAAGAGCCGAGAAAACACAGGAAGGTTAACCAGACGCACGTCCGGTTTGTTACTCTGCACTGGGAAAGATTGAGAAAGGGGAAAATGACATTATAAAAGAGATGAACAGATTCGAAACGCTTTATGCAACCGAAGATCTAGTGCCATGGAAATCTGTGCTCAGAGCGCAGAAGGCAACGAAAGCGTTACTGAAATAATCTAAGCCAACACATCTGTGCCATGGCCTGTGAACTTGGTGCATTTAACAGGGAAATAGAAAACTTCAGACGGGGCAGCACAGAGTTCAATAAGTGCCACCCGACTATGACCGCTTAATTGATTCGTGGACCTCACCACCGTTCTTTACTCTACTTTATACATGAAGCAAACCTGTATGTGTGTTTTTGAATCAAAACTTCTTATGCCTAGGGGCCCACTCTCGAAATAAAAAACGTTCGTGTGCAAGTACGAGTTTATATATATATATATATATATATATATATATATATATATATATATATATATATATATATATATATATATATATATATATATGTATATCGCGCGTTGACAGGATAACCACTGCTCATCTCATTAACGGTAACTAACTGGATTCACCGAGAAGGCAAGTGGGTTGGGGGGAGATAGAAAGTTATGTGGGCAGATGATATGAGGAAGCCTGCGGGAACAAAGTATCAGCAGCAAGCACAGGCCCGAGTTCACTGGCGGAACATGGGAGAAACATTTGCTTTGCAGTGGACGTTAAAAGGCTGATAATATATATATATATATATATATATATATATATATATATATATATATATATATATATATATATATATATATATATATATATATATATAAGAGAAAGAAGTGCATACCTAAGGGCTCGTTTCTCCGTGTTTTGACACAATATTAATGAGATTGACACAATTGATTGATTGATTAATGACACAATCGGATTAATGACAGATTGATTAATGACACAATGTTAATGCTCTAACTTCTGAGATATCACAACGGCCTGCTCTAACCACTCAGCTATCACAGGCCGCTGTAATAGCTCCGTGGTTAGACCATCGAATGCGTTATTCGAAGGTCGTAGGTTCGATTCCTGCTAATGGCTGGTTATTTTTCACCCACTATTTTTTTCTTCCTGTTTACATTCCATTTGTTCTAATAACTTCCCCTATACATTCTTTGGCATTATTGTCTGCTAGATCTCATTATATATATATATATATATATATATATATATATATATATATATATATATATATATATATATATATATATATATATATATAACAAAAGAGGGAAGGAAATCAATTCCGCTCCCTATCGGCTGCACATGCTTTAAGTTGGTGGAGTTGTATATAGAAAAGGGCAAAAATAAGAACAGTAGTTAGGAGGCACTGCGAACATGCGCGCAAAAGAGTGATCGTGAACGGCCACAAACTTTCGTGCAGTCCACTCGAGTTGTGGAAGGCAGTTCAGCTCTGTGACATTGCGCATACCGGAGGGCTTAATTTAAAATCATTGGATCTTGCTCATGAGAATGGGCTTTAATTTAAGTGGCTGAGACTAGCTTTTTCAGCCCATCATAGCGTCGAAGAATAGACGAATGATTGATATGTGGGGTTTAACGTCCCAAAACCACCATATGATTATGAGAGACGCCGTAGTGGAGGGCTCCGGAAATTTCGACCACCTGGGGTTCTTTTACGTGCACCCAAATCTGAGCACACGGGCCTACAACATTTCCGCCTCCATCGGAAACGCAGCCGCCGCAGCCGGGATCTGAACCCGCGACCTGCGGGTCAGCAGCCGAGTACCTTAGCCACTAGACCACCGCGGCGGGGCGAAGAATAGACGAAAGCTGATCTGACATATCTTAACTTTCTGCAAATGTTCGCACAGCACTGCTGATCATTTCTATTAGTAATGAATAGGTATTTGTCAATGCAACACTGAATTTCTCGCGACGCAATAAATCAGCTTTCTGAAGAATGAGCCCCGGCAGCAGACCTGCAGTTAACCGTTATCCACCTCAACAACTAAAGCTCCGCTTTAACTTCAATTAGTCGCTTGCCTCGTCACGCATCCTCACAGAGGGTTTCCCTACAGTCCTATAGTATTCCCTGGTCCATCCTTGATGACTTCGGTTACAAAGCAGGAGCAGTATTTTTGTTTTATATTTTGTGTTACGCACTTTGTCCGCCCACGCGTTTGTTCTGCCCTGGAATAACGGCTTAACGCTGAAGGCACTGCTTCATTTAGCAGCCGTAAATGATCTACGAAAATAAAGCCTACTAATTTTCATTTTCACCGTCTCTAGCACAAGTCCTTAAACGCATCCCACTTTGCACGTCCTCCACGAAACCTCACGTACTCCGAAACCTGTGTCACGAACGGTGGAGTGTGGTTGTTTATACCCATAGAAGAGTGTGGTTCCTAATGTTTCTCACCATGTTGAGGAAGGATTGCCAGTTGTTGATGTGCAGCAGCACCCTCCACCAGCTGTCGTAGCACCGCTCATCGTTATGTCCCAGGAACTCGTAAAAGGCCGGTCCCCGTGCGACCATGCTCAGCACGAATCCAAAGCCCACCATGAACATCACGGGCAGCGTCAGCCTGCAATCGGAGTCCACGTCATGAGCCACCAGTGTGTAGGCGACCTGTGCGCCGTTTCCGCAACGCGTCTGAAAGTCGTTCTGTGTGATGGACGTTCGCCGTCTCCCACGTCAGTCAGTGTCCGCGTTCCCTTGCCTCAATGGGTAGCGGCGGAGAGTTGAGGCCACACGTATATCTAAGCTACCGCCCTACTGTCTGTGACAGTAGAGCAGGTAACAAAATAATACCACCTCGACAGCGCACTCAAGAAATGCTATGCACTACTAGTTTGTCTACATAAACAGTCCTCGTGACCACAGTATTTCCCCTGCTATTGAATTTTTCTGAGGTCACAAGAAAGCTTTTGCACACACAGTATCACAGTAGTCCACGGCGACATGCCTCGCGGTCAGGCATGCATAAGTGCTCGAAAACTTACTTTCTCAAGTCTGAAATCCTTCGAGCTATCTAAAGCGAATGTGTTACTTTTCTTCGTTCACAAACTGCTCAGCACTTCTTCAATGTTCGGAGTTACATGGATGGACGGAATGATGGTCGCGTGGACAGACGGAAGCACGCACGCACGGGCTGACGGATGCTTCGCCCCACTCATCATAATTCACTCCGTTGGTATGCTGTGATAATTTTCGGGTTTTCCGAACCCTTCATGGAAGAAGAAACTCCACATTGCAATGTTATTACCTTTACTTGCTTCCTGTTTGAGGCGTCATTTGCAGTTTCTCTTTGCTGCATAACATGGAAAGCGGGAGCAGGTGAGATACTATTGGTCTTTACGTGGCAACCCGTGCCTACCTGAACAGGATTAGGACAAGGCGAATTCCATGTCGGCCCGAAATTATGTGTTTCGATACCAGCAGTACATATAAGCACGAGCCTATAAGCAAACGAGTTCTGTTTGTTTTTTTTTCTTTTATATATATATATATCTCCTGACGAAGGGAGAACCCCTCCCAAAACTGTTGGGAAATAAATATGTTCATTCTTGTTGACAACGTACCCATTGTGCTATATAAATATATATATATATATATATATATATATATATATATATATATATATAATATATATATATATATATATATATATATATATATATATATATATATATATATATATATATATATATATATATATATATATATATATATATATATATATATATAAGGGATTATAGGAAGTATCACGCAGGCTCTGATAGTATAGAAAAAGGAGTAATTCACACACAACGAACGTTTTAGCACAGTTTAGTCCGACGTTTCGACCGTGGGACCGGTCTTCGTCTGGGAATACAGGGCATAAAATTCGCGCGCTTATATATGTCAATATTCGAGACCCCCCCAAAAAAAAAACACACATGCTCTTGTGTAACGAACAAGGCTCATCTGTATCAGCACAAAAACGGTTTTCAGTGATCAAAATATGTATCTATACAGCACTGTGTGATGTCACCATTTGTAAGTCATTGGCAGCTGATACGGCTTTGCGGGATACACGTGTGCATCGCGACATTACGGATGTCAAAGCTCTTTCTTACAATAATGGTTCGCGTGTAAAATATACGCGTTGCCGATGATAAATAATTCTATTATATATATATAAGAATCGCTGTTTCTGTATACATTATCAGCACAGCGCACTCTCTGATAAAGAAGCAGACTAGCGTACACTTGTTATATTGTTGACCAATAAGCTTACGTGGAAGGAAGACACGTCAATGTGCCTGCATCCTCATTGATACCATCTGCTACAGTATTGAACTTGAATATCAGGTATGATTCCCGGAGTTCACGATCATGGTTTGAGCGGAAACCAGATTCAAGAATGGTCGCTTTCATTTGATCGAAAGAGTGGCCCGGCATGCGAACGTGTCGTGATAACGGTAGATGAGGGAATATATTTACATGGGATTTGTGGTTATTAAAGCGTATTCTGAATGGAGTTTCAGTATGACCAATATATTGTTTCAAACAGGCACTACATTCCAACATGTATACGGCATTATAAGTGTCGCAGTCGAAGCTACCACGAATCTTTAATTTAAAGTCCGAAGACGTGCTCGCGGCGTTTTGCGTGGTTTGCATGTGCACACACACTTTGCACCGTGGTTTGTTACAAGGTGCACAGCCACTCTCTTTACGGGTACCAATTTTAGATGACGTTAACATGTCGTGAAGGTTTTTGTTAACATGTCGTGAAGGTTAACATGTCGTGAAGAACATGTACGAAAGTAGGCCCTAACTACGCTAACATTTTTATGGGCATTCTGGAATGCGAATTTTTAGGTAAAAACATGCTTCAACCTCTCTACTATAGGCGCTTCATTGACGATATTTTTCTTGTCTGGACACACGATGAAGCAAGTCTGCTTGGTTTCATTCAAAAGTTTAATAATTTCCATCCGTCTATTAAGTTCTCGCACCAATTTTCGCGCACTTCTGTAAATTTTCTCGATGTCACAGTCACCATTTCCGAAGGACAACTTGCTACGAAGCTGTTCCGCAAGCCTACTGACCGACATCAACTCCTGCATTTTCAGAGTAGCCACCCCCGGCATTGCAAAACAGGAATTCCCTATAGCCAGGCTCACCGCTTTAAACGGTTGTGCTCTGACCGTACAGATTTCATTGAAAATTGTAATAGGCTCAAAAGTTCTCTAGTAAAAAGAAAATACCCGGAAAAACTAATAGACGATGCCATAACTCGAGCTGACCAACTCAACCGCACCGAGATTCTGAAAGGAAAGGACGGGAACGATAGCTCTGCTCAAACTAACCTTGTTCTGACATTTTCATCATCAGCTCCTAAGGTATCTGCTATATTGAAACGGCACCACAACATCTTAACCGAAAGTGATAATCTCAAAAAAATTTTTTCTGTTCCGCCTCGTGTTGTTTACCGACGGTCAAAAAACCTTCACGACATGTTAACGTCATCTAAAATTGGTACCCGTAAAGAGAGTGGCTGTGCACCTTGTAACAAACCACGGTGCAAAGTGTGTGTGCACATGCAAACCACGCAAAACGCCGCGAGCACGTCTTCGGACTTTAAATTAAAGATTCGTGGTAGCTTCGACTGCGACACTTATAATGCCGTATACATGTTGGAATGTAGTGCCTGTTTGAAACAATATATTGGTCATACTGAAACTCCATTCAGAATACGCTTTAATAACCACAAATCCCATGTAAATATATTCCCTCATCTACCGTTATCACGACACGTTCGCATGCCGGGCCACTCTTTCGATCAAATGAAAGCGACCATTCTTGAATCTGGTTTCCGCTCAAACCATGATCGTGAACTCCGGGAATCATACCTGATATTCAAGTTCAATACTGTAGCAGATGGTATCAATGAGGATGCAGGCACATTGACGTGTCTTCCTTCCACGTAAGCTTATTGGTCAACAATATAACAAGTGTACGCTAGTCTGCTTCTTTATCAGAGAGTGCGCTGTGCTGATAATGTATACAGAAACAGCGATTCTTATATATATATAATAGAATTATTTATCATCGGCAACGCGTATATTTTACACGCGAACCATTATTGTAAGAAAAGAGCTTTGACATCCGTAATGTCGCGATGCACACGTGTATCCCGCAAAGCCGTATCAGCTGCCAATGACTTACAAATGGTGACATCACACAGTGCTGTATAGATACATATTTTTGATCACTGAAAACCGTTTTTGTGCTGATACAGATGAGCCTTGTTCGTTACACAAGAGCATGTGTGTTTTTTTGGGGGGGTCTCGAATATTGACATATATAAGCGCGCGAATTTTATGCCCTGTATTCCCAGACGAAGACCGGTCCCACGGTCGAAACGTCGGACTAAACTGTGCTGAAACGTTCGTTGTGTGTGAATTACTCCTTTTTCTATATATATATATATATATATATAGCACAATGGGTACGTTGTCAACAAGGACGAATATACTTATTTCCCAACAGTTTTACATACGCTTTTCCTCCTTTTCCTGTCGCCTTTTACATTGTTACACGGATCGACGTTTCACCCACATAGCATTCATGTCTAATTTAAATCGAAGACACTCGGATGGACTACATCCTCTACTTCGATCACAGCGCGCACTTTATCGCGTCGTTCTCAAATAGCACGAAACATGCATTACCGTAGCCAGCTACACTGCCTATATAGATTCAGGGATGCCATCCAGCAGGCACGCTTCAATTGTCTAAGCACGCTCTTAGCGAAAAGAATAAAACATCGCCCCTTTTGGGCCACGTACGCGACTGCAAACAACTCCGTCTGTGTATTTCCCCTCCCGTTGTGGGATCAATTTCCTGAAAAGGTCATGGTTGTAAACACAGTCAAAAAATACGAGCGTTAAGATACATATACATATATTCGAAGTGCGAGGGTAAGGATTCAAGGATTTCTCTTCGTTTGTTTGCAGGTTTCGTTCAACGTCTGGACATGCAGCCTAAAGCACCGGCGGTGAAACAGAGAGAGCGAGAGCTTATCCGGCGAATGCATCTAGCAATCAATTTGCATTCGATAAAGATCACGGAAGCGGAGATTGTCCTTGTTGCGAGCGCTGCAGCGTGTACTCTGAAATGCCGCTGTTTTTTTTTCTTTCTTCGTATGTTTCTTTTCTATCGATGACCGCACGATAGAGCGCGTTCTCAACGCTTTATCGTATGTAATTTTGCAACGAGCTGCGCCCGCTTCTCACTGCTGCTTGATACATAATACATATAGCTGAAACCGATATCCCGCAAAATGCCTAAGTAGTCTGCTAGTTCAAATTGCATGCACGGGTTACTTTCATTCGAGCCACGCCAGGCTCCCCATGGCTATCCGTTCACTCATCGTTGACGTCACTCGAAAAAAACGTGCACGAGGGTCTTTAATGAGCAAGGGCGACGTTGTTGATACCGTTGCTGAAAATACACCAGTGCAACGCGACCATGACGATATCAGTAAGATGAAGCGATTCTGTAAGGTCTTCATCTCTGCCTCCCCTCAGCAGT